CTCTTGTACTTATGTGTATGAGGACATTAACGCAAATACAAGTTTAAATAGTATTATGATAACTACTCTATGGCAAATTCAAAATTTATATAGTGTTTACTTTTTGTAACCATAACAAAATAATGGACTGGTATGTCTTATATATAGAAGAACAAAAATGAAAATTTCACAATGTATTTTTGCCTGTTTATAAGTAATAAAATGAATTTTGTTTGTAATATTACAGTACTTAATCATGTCATTCCTATTTAGTTTTTATATCATTACATTATAAATTTTATGTGCTTTGTATGACAATTTAAATTTTGTATGAATAAGTTAATTATTTAATTTAGCCTTTTATTACTTGTCAGCAGTCCATTTCCCCAATTAAATATATTGCTTAGTTCAGCCATGCCTTTCAATCTTTGTTTTAAAATTGCTTATTGATTTGTCTATTACAAAGTGGATATGCATTCATAAACATTTTCTTTTATAGTTCGAGTGAACATTTTCCTTTTAATGGTAACATGGAATGCAATTTAGAGCTAATAGAAAAGTTTACAGATTTTCCAATGATTTTTCCCTGCGGTTTAGAGAAAAAGTTTATCTGAATAAAAATAACCTTCTATAGCCAGGCTATCCTACACAGTTTTTTTTAATTGATGTGGCAACATCAAAATAAGACTAACTAAAGTATTGATTATTTCCCATAGAAATCCGCTGGTATTACCAATCGCCAAGCAAGACAGTTTGTTGGAAAAGGACATTATGTTCAAAGACGCAACACAAGGTCTATGTAAGCAACAGTCTCAGGACAGCACCCCTGCAAACACAATGGGGAAGAGCTATGCCGAGCCAGACCAGGTAAGTCCGAATCGTTGTATTTCTACCTGCTATTTCTTTTAACATCTTGTTTCAAAATCAGTGCTTCTTTAAAAAATGCTCACTAATGTTAATCCCCCAAAAAGGATTAATGAATGCATGGCTTAATATTTTGTGAAAAGTACTATAAATAAATTGTTTGCACATTGTGCTGATTGTTGAGAAATATACTGTGCTTTAGAGGGATTTGAGCTTGACCTTATATACCAGGAATGCAAGTTCAATCAATAATTTAATTTATGAATTTTTTTAGATGAGACATTAGGAACCATTCTGATAACCTATTATATACTTTCAGTTCTCATTTCCATCAAATATCGAAACAATTTATATTTAACAAGAAGGTTAAACCCAGAATCATTTATCCTGACGAATGACTATGATGCTGCCATGTGTGTGTGTGTGTGTGTGTGTGTGTGTGTGTGTTCATTCCAGTGGCCAAATCACAGGAGATCACTTAGGATTAGGGTGAGTGATACACTGGGGATTATGTAAATTAATATACTTTTCTTTTAGCTTTGTCACAGGTATAAACACATATGTTTTCTGTTTTTAAATGACAGCATAGTTTGTATCCTTGAAAAGATCATGTCCCCATTTATATAATTTTGAATATATTTTTAAATCATTTTACTGGGGGCTTATACAACTCTTATCACAATCCATATATACGTCAATTTTGAATGTTTAAAAGATATTTTAGTTAAGGTAGCTTTTCCAAATTAATTTTAATTGAATAATACCTTTCATTACTTAAAAGCAACTAAAACCAATAGAAAAATCTTCAAAATGCTTTTAAATTGTATCTTCCAATTAAGTGTTAGTCCCTCCCTTCCCTTCTTATCAGTCTTATGAACTTTTTTTAAACCAGCCCATGAGTTTTTGGTCATGATTTGTATACCTGTACATCTGACATGACTATAAATTTCCCAGTTACTCTTTGAGAAAGGTTGTGTAATTCTTATCGTTCAGTAGAGGAAGAA